GAATTTAAACATATTTGAGGGGTTTCAAATCTTTGGAATTAATACCCTTATTGAAGTTCACATTATCCCATCTTTGGCCAGTGGGAATCCACTCTAAGTTGTCTCCTAAGGCCTTTTGACAAGACCTTCTATTATTATAGCTTCCTTGAAATATGAAATGAAAATACATTCCAAGCTCATTTTATATATTTTCTGCCTTGACTTGAAATCATCTTTTACTAAACCTTGGTTTTCCTTTAGTAGAAAACATTTTAAGATCATAATCTGGAAACTAGGAATGATAATTGCTTCTGTCTTAGTCACTACTTTTCAGTCTTTTTAATAGAACAAGAAAATTTTATGTGTCTGTGTATATATTTGATTTTATTTGGAAATAATTTCAAACTCAAAGAAAGTTATAAAAATAGAATATACTAAATACTATATATTTGCCTATTCTTAATGTTTTTCCCCTGGCTTTATAATTTGCTTTCTCTATTTACATGTGTGTATAATATATACACATTAAAAAAAATTATATGAAGGTAAATTATATACATCATGGCCCTATACCCATATATATATCAGTGAATATTTCTCAAGAAATAAATATTTCTGAAGATACAATGATATTCCTATGTCACCACTGTACAGTTGACAACCATATAAATTTATATTGATACAACACTAATCCACTGTCCATATTCCTTGTTAAATGGTCTAATAATGCCCTTTATAATAATTCTTGCCCTCCTGTATAGGATCTAGTCTAGAAGCAGGTATGGCCTTTAATTATTACCTTTTCAGAGAGTATGGAATATTTCTACTGCCTTTGTTGGTCTCTAACACTATGATTTCTTTTTTGGGGGGGTGGCTAGCCAGTACAGGGACTGAACCCTGGACCTTGGTGTTACCAACACCGTACTCTAACCACGTGAACTAACTGGCCAGCCCCTAACATTGTAATTTCTTAATCTTTTATGACACGACATTGGCTTTATTAAAAAAAAAAAAAGAACATTCCTCATAATTATGCATTCCCAACTGGAATACCACAAAAATGATATTATATCCTTCTCAGGATATTACATCCAGAGGCACATGATGTGCATCTCTCCTTCTTTTGATGATGTTAATTTTGATCACACAGTCTAGGTGCTACTGGGCTTGACTACTATCTAATCACCGGTTTTGGCTTTTCTCCCCCCTTCTCTTCTAATGTGAAAAGGCCATGTAAATACTTGCTCCTCATCAAAAATTCCCTCTAGATTTATCAACCATTAGTGATTCTTACCTAATCATCTTTCCTATATATGTAAAATGATCAGTGGAAGGGGCAGGAATTGACTAGGAAGGGGCATAATGGAACTTTCTGGAGTAATAGAGATATTCTGTATCTTGATGGGATTGGATTACACAGGATTAGGCATTTCTCAAAACTCACAGAATGTTATACTTCAGAATTAAAATTTCATTTCATATAATGATAAATTATAAGTTATAAATTTCAAAATATTAACATTTACCAAAAAATATATATATAAATATTGAACTCTAGATAATGAAATGCATGCTAAAGTTCTTAAGGATGTCTGCAACTTATTATGAAATGCATCAAAAAAATGGATAAAATAGATATGTGATAATATAATGAAGGAAACAGAACAAAATGTTAACGACTGCAAAATATAGTTGGTGGGCACAGGGTGTTTGTTTACTGAACAATTCTTTGAACTTGACTACATGTCTGAATATTTTCATAGTAAAATATTAGGATATTAAAAAACAGTTCTGTAAATGGTTATGTTATAAGGAGCACAAATAGTAAATGGGGAATTATAATTTGGTATAATTATATACCATAGCTGAATTTTGAAAGTGGTTAAGATTGTTCATAGAAGTTAAGATGGAAAACCAGTAGATGGCTAAAAGGTGGTTCTGGTGATGATGAAAACACGGATGTCAAAATACATGAAATGGTTTTTTTTTTTTTTTTTTTTGTCTTTTTCC